TGGTGGACCTGTCGGGCAATGCTGGGGTGCGAAGGGTAAGGACATGGTGGCCCGTAGGAGCTGCCCCTTCCCCCCCCCCCCCCCCCCCCCCCCCCAGGACACAGTGCCGCTGTCAAAAAGCTGCCGTCTGTTTTGGCTCCGGAAGACTCTGTGGAGCAAATTGGCTCAAAAAGCGGAGTAATTAGTCTTGACCTCATCCCTGCCGGAGGGATCCATCTCCGAGGGGTGAATGTCCCCCCCCCACCCCGCCTCTGACATCGCTCACAATGTCGTGCTGTCATTGTGTCTTGTGGCCTGTTGACTCGTGTTCGTTATGTGTCGCCCCCCCCCCCCCACCTGTCTCAACCCAGACTGACACCTGCTTGTACACCCCCTGTCTGCTCATATCCCTGATAGGAACCACATCACGTCGTCTCCACCCCTGGTCACATGACACTGCCATAGGGAGCGACATGCTCAGCACCAGGAATCACTTATTTACACACTGTTCGCCTTTTCCAGAGCCTGGCTAGGAATCGCATTAAATCTCATTTAGGGCATTGATTCAGATACACGCAGGAGTGCCCTCTGTCCCTGCCGGGGGTGGGGGCACCGTATCTCCATTTCCCTTTAATCTCCTTGGGGTGACACCATTAGGGGAATGAAATGCTAGAGCCTGAACCGCTATGTGACGGCAGGGGGGTGCGCAGCTCGCCGGCTTCGCGAGGAGTATGTCAGAAAGCAGGGGAGGCATCCAGCCATCAGAGGCTTTCAAAGGCTTTTATTCTCTGTCGCTTCAGTCCTGCTTGTGGGATCACAGATATGCTCAGACAGAGGTCATGTGACACCGTCTGTCCCACAGTATGGCCAACGCCCCCATGCACCTCTGTCCTGTGAGCACAGCCCTAACGCTCTGACTGCAGGAGTGCATCCTTTTTAGTGCCTCGTTACAGCTTCTTAACGAGCGGAGCGTGTCGGCCTCGGGAGGGAAACCTGTGATTGTACTTATTTTTTAATAGAAAGATGTGGCTCGGAGCAGATGGTCCGCTTGCACCGAGCCCTCAGAGGCAGCCTGGTCGGTGACCTTGCAGAACCTCCTTAACGGACCCGTAGGTCCACACTGGGGAGGTGAACACATGTCCTGCGAACAGCGGGATTCATTTATTAAAGGCAGATTCTCTCCAGCGTCACATTTTAAAGCTTTGGTGTTGGACATTCTGCTTAAATGATGCACAGCTTTGCTTTAATGGTACTGAACAGGCATCTAGCTCCAGAACAGGACCCCAAGGGCCTGATATTCCGGTTTCCACGGCGATCGGGATCGACGGGCGGTAATCTGTGGTATCAGCTGAGCATCGGCGGCAGCGGCGCATGAATCAGCTCCCACCGCCCCCCCCCCCATCCTTGCTCATCCACAGGCATAATCTGCATGCCGCCTTTTAAAGGGGCTTCGCTCAGCACACAAAGCGGTTTATCTGTAATACGAGGGCGAGGCGAAGCTCACTTTGAGTGAGGAAAGGGGGGGTTGCTTACTGTCAGAGAAGGGGGGGGGGTGCAACTGGTTTGGATGGGGGAGGGTGTTTATATGTGCAGGAAGAATGTCGACAATCTTAGAGTTCCTCACAGAAATGGGACTCCATTAACAATATGATTCTATAGGGGTGTACGGTGGGGGGGGGGAGGCCCTCCCGAAATAATCACCTTCTGATATCTGTGAAGTTATGGGGGTGAAAGGTGAGCTTCTACATTCGGGGAAGACATGGAAGCTGGCGAGCAAGCAGCCTGCGTCTTAACGAGCCGAGTCTCTCTAGGGACGTATGGCCATTACTCCCCCTGTCCCCCCCCCCGGGAGCGATGTATCTATTCCCCCTGGAGGAATGGAACAATCCTTCTCCTCTGCCCGCCCCCACGCTCTGTGGAAATTAACATACCGCTGACACCCTACCCCCATCCCCAGGGCTGGCACGACATGACATGCCCCTCACGTCTCCCATAATCCCGCCTGCTCATCCCCTGCCCGTGGTCCCCATTCCTCCTACATTTTATTTATTTTTTTGAGCAGACGGTTCTGCTCTGTGGCCGGCATATGGGTCGGCCTACATTGTCGCTGGACCTGAGATGTCGCTGTTCGTTGTGCCACCATGTTAATAATTCATGCAAAACTATAGACTAGAGACAATTAGTCACAAGAGCCAATCGGAAGCAGCAGCCAGCTGTGAGCTCATCTGTAGCAGACCTTTAATTACTTCAACTTTTTAATCAATGTTTTCATTTCCCCAGAGATTTGCCCCCAGGGCATTCTGTTGGTTGCATCATCTTCCATTATATGTACCATGAACTTTACCCCCAAACTAATTTTATTAATACGAATCTGCTTGGGCTGCCCATCCTGCTTTGATTGTATTTCATCAGTGCTTTTCTTCTGATGGCTAATTGATTTTCAGTTTCTGGAGTGCAGATGATGCTTGTTTCTCGTGACGGCTGTCCCGCCCCCCACCACTCTCCAGAACTGTAGCTCCCACGTTAGGAGGGCGGTCGTCACCTGCTTCTCCGCCGGCTGCTGCGGGCGCCATGGCAACCGCCCCGTCCGCTACTGCAAGCGTTGCCATGTCAACCATCACAGCAGCGAGGTGGGGGCCGCTGCGGAGACGCACCTCTACCAGACCTCCCCACCCCCCATCAACACGCGGGAGTGTGGGGCTGAGGAACTCGTGTGCACCGTGGAGGCCGTCGTCAGGTAGGTCCGGGCCAGGTGGACCCCACTGGCCAGGGAAACGAGGGACAATGGAGAGGCAGAAGCAGAGGTGGAGATCATAGCATGAATAACAAGGTACTGATCTAATCTCTAGTCCTGATGGTTCATGGACTGAGTAGCTCAGTCTAGAAATGGTACAGAAGACATGATGTTTCCCGCAGGAGAATGGCACCAGAGATACAAGAGAACGAGAAGAATGGCATAGCTTCTTGTGCTTTTCCTCACTCATGCGTCACTCTGATGCGTCACTCTGACTCTCAACTGGGAGTCACAGCTGAGAAGTTGAAGGAGGCATAGTAAGAGCTAGAAGCCGCTGGAGGAGCACAGGGGCTGGCTGAGTCTAGGCAGCCGCAAAGCATTCTGGGAGGTCAAAGAGCTTTTCCCACTTTGACGGCTCTTCAGCTGCTAAAATTCTTAAAGGGTGGGATTAAGCGTTAGCATCTTTCCTTTGTGTTAGAGCTGGTGTAGATTTCCTGAAGGTCCTTTCAGTCGCTTGTGGATTTGCCCCTGTTCATTCAACCCCTCCTCCCCAACCCTGTGCCCGAACATCTGGCCACAGCCTGCTGAAGGAAGCTGAGATCCATGCAGAGATGCGAGAACACGAGATGAACCGCCGCCGGCAGATGGGCCTGTCTGCCTCGCACCACTCCCTGGACAATATCGACTTCGACAACAAGGAAGATGACCAGCATGACCAAAGGCTGCTCAGCCAGTTCGGGATCTGGTTCCTGGTGAGGCCCCCGGTGGGGGGGGGCCTGGGTGGGGCGGGACTGTGCTTCAGTGCACCACATCACTCTGGATGTAGAGCCACAAGCCGCAAAGGGTGTGAGGACAGTCAGTCCTCTAATAAGTAATCTAATTAGGGAGTTGCAGTGAAAACCCGCATATGCAACAGCCCTTTCTGGATGAGATTGCCCTCCCCTGATGTAGAGATATTGCTGTTTGTTCACCTGGGAGCCTGATAAACCACCTGGCCATCCTTGGAAACTGGGTCGCTCTTCACGATCCTGTGACACCATATCTGGCTGCTGCTTCCTGGAGACGCATTTGATCTGTGTTAACTCACATTCATCGGATTTACTGATTAATGACGATAACGTATATGCAGTGACAAAGCCAGTGACAAAGGAGTTGCTTTGTCAACTGTAATGAATTACACTGAGCCTTGCACTGCTCAGTTTTGTGAATTGCACATTATTCTCTGCTGTTCTGTCCTGTGTATAGTCACCCACGGCCATTCTGTGTGTCCTGTCAGGCTGAGTTATCCCATTGTTACGTATTTAATTGTTCCTGGTATTTTCCTCTGTATTTGATTACCCAGAATCCCTGCACACTCTTTGCTAGTTCTCTTCATAGGTCCCGGTTTGTACCATGGCACTGATCGGTGACATTCTGCTTGGTGTCCCTGCAGGTCAGCCTGTGCACGCCCAGTGAAAACACGCCCACGGAGAGCCTGGCGCGGCTGGTCAGCATGGTCTTCCAGTGGTTCCACTCCACCGCCTACATGATGGACGACGAAGTGGGCAGCCTGGTAGAGAAGCTTAAGCCGCAGTTCGTCACAAAGTGGCTGAAGACCGTGTGCGATGTGCGCTTCGACGTCATGGTCATGTGTCTGCTGCCCAAACCGGTGGAGTTTGCCCGGGTGCGCAGGGATTTTTTTGCTTGATGATCGTAGGAAGCGGCTAGTGATGGCCAAATAAAGCTTTGTGAACCATTTGTTGTATTTTTTGACGCCGCTAGATGGTGCTCTTGGCTTACTTTGGTTTATGCTTTGAGCCCTTTTTTGAACAGAGAGCACCATCTAGTGGGGTCAAAAAATACAGCAAGTGGTTCAGGAAGCTTCACTTGGCCATCACTAGTAGCTGCTTATGCTGTACTTGAGGGACATCTCTTCTGGGCATTCAGGTGCCCCTCTGTCCTTCTGAATGTTGGGGCTCCTGTTCCCAGGTCGGTGGTTACTGGGACAAGTCGTGTAGCACGGTGACCCAGCTGAAGGAGGGCCTGAACCGCATCCTCTGTCTGATCCCGTACAACGTCATCAGCCAGCCCCTGTGGGAGTGCTTCATGCCCGAGTGGCTGGAGGCCATCCGCACTGAGGTACCCGACCAGCAGCTGAAGGAGTTCCGCGAGGTGCTCAGGTAAATGCTGCTTAATCCCCCTATTCCCTCATTACATTACAGAACCATCACAGTTTGGAGTCTCGCCTTACCCCAACCATTATTAGTCCATTACTAATTTAACAGTTAGAACCACTGAGACCCAAAGCATACCTCCAGCTCTCCTTAATGAACCCCCGTGCTCCGTTCTCTCTCTGCAGCAAAATGTTTGACGTGGAGCTCTGCCCCCTACCCTTCTCCATGGAGGAGATGTTCGGCTTCATCAGTTGCCGCTTCTCGGGGTACCCGGCCTCTGTGCAGGAGCAGGCTCTGCTCTGGCTGCATGTGAGTGCCCCCCAGTGGAGGGGAGGGAGCATTACATGGGGTGTTCGCCGGAAGTAGGTCTGGAACCAAACGTGGTGTCCTTCACGTGTGTGAATCCGTTGCTCTTGGTCACATGGAGATACCTCCTTCCTGTAGATTGATTTCATGATCTTCTCTCCCTTTTTGGCACCATTGTGAATTAAATTTGTTGAGGTTTGGCCCTTTAAGGTCTAATTGATCTGGGTCACACCACAGACTGTAAGCAGCGACTGTCCACCTACAAACCGCAAGCCACATTGTGTGTGTACATGTCCCCGTCTCTGTATCTGTGTACATGTGCCTCTGTCTGCACAGGTGCTGTCGGAGCTGGACATCGTGGTTCCCCTCCAGCTGCTGATCTCCATGTTCTCCGACGGCGTCAATTCCGTGAAAGAGCTGGCCAATCAGAGGAAGGCACGGGTGGTGGACCTGTCGGGCAATGCTGGGGTGCGAAGGGTAAGGACATGGTGGCCCGTAGGAGCTGCCCCTTCCCCCCCCCCCCCCACTGGGGGAACTGGGGGATGGAGGTGGAGGTGAGAAAAAGGGGAGCTACCTCAAGGGATCCAGCCGGGAGTAGCATGATCAGCCTTTTTCCAGACCCCCGCAGTAAAATGGCAACCAAAATCTTTCAACAGGAAGTGAGACGTTCGTCTGTGTACACATTATATCTGTCTTCCATTAATGATGCCCACAAGGCTACTGGGGGAAGTGGTCTGTTGCCATGGTAACCACCACAGACTAAATTCAGACCTAATTACTTTTAAAATAAATCTCCATCTAGACCTACTGAAGTGCGATTCATGGGCCGCAGGACTTGGCCATCTTCACCCTTGACCTCGGTGTGTGTGGGACACGTCCGCAGGTGAGCGTGGTGTCGGACCCGGGCCGCCGTGGCCAGCACAAGACGCTGAGCCCATTTCCCAGCCCGTTCCGGAGCCCGTTCCGGAGCCCACTGCGCTGCAGCCCTTTCAGGAACCTGGGTCATGCCACTGGACACTGCGCCCTGGACCTGGACTGCGAGGATGACGACATGAATCTGGGCTGTTTCATCCTCATGTTCGACCTTCTCCTCAAACAGGTGACCGGCTTTGCCAAAGGCGGCTTTGCTTATCAGGCTCTGCATCTGGATATCATTGTTGGCCAGAATGTAATGCTTTCTCACACTTCATACTCACGCTGTCTGGCCGTGATTATTCTTTGAAAGAAATCTGCGGCGATATGATAGTCCGAGAGAGTCTGATAAAATAATCGTTCCTCGCTATCTGTTGTTCAATCATTCCTTGGTAAGAATTTACAGCAAACATTTCTTTAAAGACTTTTGTAAGTAATCAGAGGAACTGTTTTAGTTTCCAAGTATCTCTGGATGTGGAAGATAGGCAGAACTTCAAAGCTGTATGAAATTCCAAGTGAGTGCCTGACCATTAATCCAATCCCAAATGTGTTTTAAGGCTCAGATCGCAATATTGGAATGACGTTTTACAAAGTGAAACAGATCAATTGAAGTCAGTCAGCAATGCATGCGGCAGGCTGTAATACTCACGAATGCTGCCATTTGAGGATATTGACTTGGAAGATATCGATTTGAGGAGTGCATAAATTTCACTCTGGACTTCCATTGCAAATCCAGTGATACAAGAGAATGGTTTCTTTAAAAAAAAAAAAAAAGAGCAGGCATTTCTCTTTTTGAGGTGGTTGTGCTCTTCTCCAGATGGAAAGGACACTGCCTGGAGGTGAGGAAATTGAAGTTTGTTTTTGGTGGGATTCCACTTTAATCCACAAGAAGGCCGCCATGACAGCAGATCTGTTGATAAACACCGACCGGCCGTGACGACGCCGCTAGGGCACAAAGGCCTTAATGATGAGCGCTGCCTGTTCCTGAAACAGATGGAGCTGCAGGACGACGGCATCACGTTGGGCCTGGAAAGCAACCTGGGCAAGGACATCGTGGGCATCATCAACAACGTGTTCCAGGCCCCGTGGGGCGGCTCTCACACGTGCCAGAAGGATGAGAAGGCGCTGGAGTGCAGTCTGTGCCAGTCCAGCATCCTGTGCTATCAGCTCGGCTGTGAATTGTTGGAGAGGTTGGCTCCCCGGGAGGAGATCCGCCTAGTGGTGAGGTCCCGCCACTGCAGCCACCGCAGCTCCCTCCGCCCATGACTGATAACCCCTCCCACAACTGACTCCCTCGTCCAACTAAAGATCTTTGGGGTGGTGTAGAATGGCTCCCTAACCTAACCCTCCCCAACAGGAGGCTACTGAAAGCCTGGAAGACAGCCTGATCTTCCCCCGGCCTGAGTTTAGCATTGGCACGGAGCAAGGCATGGAGGACAGCGACAACGCTGACAGCAGACAGGCAGATAATCCGGGCAACCAGGAGCTCTCGCCCAAAAATCCCCGTAAGTCACCCTGGCTACAAGACCCAGAAGCTCAGATAATCACACAGCCAGCATCTGCTGCTGCATATCAACCCTAACGCTAACTGCAACCCTAATCCTAGCCCCAGTCCTAATGCCAACACTGGCCTTAACCCAAATGCCAACCCTAACCCTGGTGGTAACATAATGCCACCCCTATCCCTGGCATTAACCATAATGCTAATTCTGTCCTAATACTAAGCTCGTGGGAGTTTCGCTTACATAAAAATGTTCTGTGGGCAGAAGGAAAAATGATTGATTCAGAGAAATAACCAATCAGATTGTAGAGGAGGTGGGTCCATGCAGCTAGAGGACGTGGGACTGTAACCTCTGATTGGTTGGTCCCACCTCCTGTAGTTGCTTGGATCCACTTCCATTTACATGGCTGGATTGAGACACCTCTGTCACGTTTGAAAAACTGTTGCTCGCTAACGTGACCATGACATAATGATTGTCTGTCTCTGGAACCCCCCCCCCCCTTTCCCTTTCACAGCCATGAAGAACAACACAGATAAGAAGTTTTCCTACCAGCACCTTCCCGTGTCTTTGAAGCTGATTTACACAATACTGCAGGTAGGGGGCACTGTGACACTCTCGGTGTGTCCCTCACCATGTTGGCTTCCGCCCTGAACATGACTCTCCCTGCCCAGGAAATGGGTAAGTTTGAGGAGCCGGACATCCTGTTCAACATGCTCAACTGCCTGAAGATCCTCTGCCTGCATGGAGAGTGTCTATACCTCGCCCGCAAGGACCATCCCCAGTTCCTGGCCTACGTCCAGGAGAAGTTGCTCATCCCCTGGTAACCATCTTAGTTCTTGTATTCTAGCCAGCTAAGCTTGACTGACAGATCTGACACACGGGGTGCTTCTCAATGTGCATACGTGACCATACTTGTGTTCTCGTCGGTAAAAATCCCCGGATGTTGTTCTTGCCTCGCCGGAAATGTCAAGGATGCATCGGTTGCATCCTAGCCAAACGAGACCAGTCCCATGATTCGTTGCGGCCCAAGTTTGTTCTTGGAAGGCGAGTTAGTAAGATCGGTCTTGCCGAGACCACAAGTACGGTCTTTACCATCTTGGTATTGAGAAACACTCGCAGTCATACTGAACCACAGCAGCATTAGGGCTGAACACACAGCAGTGGTTTATTATTTAATTAGTTGAGGTTTGTAGAAGGCTTTGTCTAAAATATGTTAAGCTTGAATATAATGACCAACACATACAACAATAAGGGTTCAGGGCGCTAAACCACCAAACTTTTGGTCTGAAGTCACAAATTCCCAACCATCACGCCACCTTCTCCATGTCCACCTCCCCCTTCCCGATTCCCTCTGCCTCCTCTCCAGTTTGTGGCGGATGCTGAAGGCCGAGTTCTGCCAGCTGGCCTCCTTGGCTGTGCCTCAGCTCCTGCACGCCCTCTCGCTGCCCCACGGCGCCGACATCTTCTGGAACATCGTAGACAACAGCTTCAACAGCAAGCAGTGGAAGACACGCTTCGAAGCAGGTGAGGGGCCTTGGATGTGGACCTACTGCTTTGTGGTCCTGAAGGCGTGTGGACCAGTTTGGCCACGCCCAAACTCTCTGATATCATTTGGGACATAGCTAGTGCTTTTTAATATAAATAATGAATGGGACATATACAGTATTTAAAATTTTTGTATTCCTCGATTGTGGAATACAAGCGGTTTTGGGACCAGTCCACCGCCGCCACACACTTTCTCGTTAACAGAAAGTATTCTATGGTTCTTTTTCAAACCCTGCAGACATATTGTCTAGGTGACAAAGTACAACTGATCAAACCTGGAGACAGTTTGCCCCAAAATGGAAGCAGTGACTCATAGTGATAACAAAGAAAAGAGCAGTTACATACAACTGACACAATAACACAATAACTCAAAAATTATTTTACGGATCTTTCTCAAACTTTTGCAGACCCATTGTATGGGTGAACAACTAGAACCAATCTAATTTTATTTTAATTAAAGATTACAGTAATATTTTCGTTATACTGAGGTATTTTCGTGAAATTTATCTTGGAAGAATTTAATCGTGTCACTTAGTCCTAGTCCTAGTGAGCACATGTAAAACAGGCACAGATACCTATGATGAATGTGATTGCATTGAAACAAATCACACAAACTTGGGTTTTTAATAGAGATTTTTGCTGAGCTGGGGAGAGTGTAGGGTAGGCTTGGGTGGTATTACAGTCATATTTACTGCACGATTTTCATTTGGCAAAATTTATCATGGGTAACCCCCCCCCCCCATATGATCAGTAAGCCCCTAAGGGGGCTAGAGATAGAGGTTGGGTGTGGCAGGAGTAGTGATTAAATAGGCGAGGTATAGTTACTTATTTTTACCATTGGTGTGTCTGATAACTTGGATCTTTAAACATATAAAGAATATAAGTCATTTTAATGACATTAAGACATACACAAATAAATACAGTTAATCACCGAGCTGGAGGGGTAAGATTGTGCAAAACAGCATTTATGGGAAAGTGCAATAAAGGAATAGGTGTAGTTTCATATGTATGTGTCACGACTAGGACTCCTTCAGGTAAAAACACATTTATTGGTTTTCACATTTCCAGATTATCCTTCCAGTAACTCTACACATTGTATAGGTTGGGGGGTGGGGGAGGAGTAGGAATCAGATGGGGGCGGGGGTAATGGAGCTGTGTGGGGAGTACACTGTTATCGTTCTGACAGCATCTTTTCTAGCTTTTTATATAAAATGATATTCAGTCAAACTGAGAAGTCGAGAATAACGTATGACATTACATAAGATGAATTTTTCAGATAGAATCTATGAACACTTTGTTTAAACTGGGTTGAGGTCAGAGAGCGACCGTGCGCTCAGACTTTGGGTTTGGCTCAGTTCAGCCTAATTAAAGATATCGAGTCAGCCTGGGGTGTCTGTCAGAAGCCTTTTTAGCAAAGAGCGGATCACCTTGGCAGATTTGCAGTGTTGATGCCGTGATGCTGTCACGGAAACCACTGCAATCACTCTGAATTACAAACGACAAACAGCTGAAAGTTAAGGCACTTACTAACATTCAGCACTGCGTCGTTAACCACTGATGGCAGAACACATATTGCACCTTGCGTGTTCCTGTCGTGTGTGTGTGTGTGTGTGTGTGTGTGTGTGTGTGTGTGAGCACACATGTTTGGGGGTCTAATCTGTTCTCCTCATGCTACTTGCCAAATGGTTGCCATAGTTACTAGTGTACCCTCTCCCGCAAGATTGGTTGACTGAAGGTAAGCTGACCTTGGAATGATGCATTAAAGAGGTCAAGATGTCACAGAGACTGGGGTGTGTCAGCGAGTAGTGCGTCACCTTCAGAAGCTGGTGGCACTCCATGATGTCACCTCCACTTCTGACCGACAGTAAATCATTCATTCCAACTAATGGCCCCTGCAGACTGGAGAGCATTGAGATCCTCAACCAGATGGTTGCTCACAAGTGCCTGTAAATCACCCAGAAGCAGCACTGACCTGCATCAATCCATCACTGGGTTTTATAAGCAATCTGACTACAATGGCGCTTCATGACCTCATTCTGTTACAATGGCGCCATCTAGTGGCAAATTGTGTAACTATTGTGAACTTGCCTAAACTCCGCCTCTCTCTCTATCGCCGCCTAGTGGAGAGGGTGGCGGTGCTCTGCCGCTTCCTGGACATCTCCTCGGTCACCAAGAACCACCGGCTGAAGTACTCCCTGGCCCACGCCTTCTGCTGCTTCCTGGCCGCCGTGGAGGATGTCAACCCGGCCGTGGCCACCCGAGCAAGGCTGCTGCTGGACAGCATCAGGAGGCCAGCGCTGCAGGCCAGTGGGACTGGGGGGCTGGAGAGACACAGTAGCACTCTGCTGATGAGCTTTTAGTCCCTCCCCTTTCCCCTCCCACCTTGGGTTTCAGGCTTTATGATTGGTCGAGTAAAATCAGTGTCTCCACTCCCCCTCCCCCCCCTACATTTCAGGGCCTGTGTTTGTGCCTGGACTTCCAGTTTGACACGGTGGTCAGGGACCGGCCCATAATCCTCAGCAAGCTGCTGCTGCTGCACATCCTGAAGCAGGACATCCCTGCCCTCAGCTGGGAGTTCTTCGTGAACCGCTTCGAGACGCTCTCCCTGGAGGCCCAGCTGCACCTGGACTGCAACAAAGAGTTCCCCTTTCCCACCAGTACGGCCACCCACATGGCCTCCTAGTGGCCCATGCATGAACATGTGTTGAGGCGTGTGTGTTTGCACGGCCTAGAAAAAAAAAATTTAATTCATAAAAATACAAAATGCAGAAAGATTTACCGAATGCTGAACCCCCCTCCCCCAGACATCACTGCAGTGCGGACCAACGTGGCCAACCTCAGCGACGCTGCCATGTGGAAGATCCGCCGGGCACGCTTTGCCCGCAACCAGCAGAAGAGCGTGCGCTCTCTGCGGGACAGCGTCAAGGGCGAGTCCGAGTCCAAGCGGGCCTTCTCCCTGCCCGAGACGCTGTCTAGCCGCCTGCGTGAGTCAGCGGCCCCCTGTGTCGTCTGCCCTCCCGGCCGCTGTCTGTCCGCCCTGCTCTCCTACTGTATCTCTCTCCGCTCACCTGTCCCCACGTTCTTATGTTTGGCCTGTCCAGGCCCTTTCTTTTCACATATCCACTCCATTCTCCATCTCTTTTTCCTGGGGGTTGTGTCTCGTCCTCCTCATTTCTGGTTTTTATCCCACGCCGCAGTGTCCGAGCTTCGGCGAGGTGTCCTGGATAATTTGCATGGGGGGGAGGGGGCGTGCCAACCCGCAGCTCGGACGGGCGGCCCCTCAGCGCCCCCGGGACATCTCCTAAATCGTGTTTTCCATGTGTGGTTTTTAGCTCTAAGGCTTACGAGGCAAGAGCAGTCTGCCCCCTCACTGGGAGATATGATAGAGACAGTCCTGCCAGGTAAATAACACATCTAACCTGACCTTCACCACCCTCAGCTAACATGCTAAATGTAGCACTAGATGGGCTGGCTTGTCACGGCGTCTTCCGGTTACCAAGCATGTCTGTCTATGGAAGCGCCCACCTTAACCCACATAAGGGAGGGTTACCACACTACACCCAAAGATGGTCTTATGTGTTCATGGCCGGAATTGGTGCAGCCCTGGTGCCGTAATCTGGATCCCAGTTACCATAAGGCTCGGATTGGCTGATGCTGGGGGGGTGTGGAGCCTAAGTGGTCCATTTGCTGTGAGATCTAACACCCACCATAGCTAGGATGCTAGGATAGACACGGTGACCCCTGACCCCCTCAGGCCAAAGTGCCCCGGATGACGACACCATCATCAAGGACGTGATGCCCGAGGACGCCGGCATCGACCACCAGACCGTGCACCAGCTGATCGCCGTCCTGATGAAGTTCATGACTAAGGACCACAGCAGTGCGGAGGCGGACATCGGCAGTGCCAAGGCCTTCAACACGGTCAAGCGACACCTCTACGTGCTGCTGGGCTACGACCAGCAGGAGGGCTGCTTCATGGTGGCCCCACAGAAGATGCGTACCTCTACCTGCTTCAACGCCTTCCTCGCCGGCATCGCCCAGGTGACCGGGCATCTGGAACCCCCCCCCCACTGATGGGCCCACATGATCCCTCTCCCCACTGATAGGCTTGCTTCTCACACCTCGTCTCTTGCAGGTGATGGACTACAACATCGGACTGGGGAAGCAGCTGCTCCCCCTGGTGGTGCAGGTGCTGAAGTACTGCACGTGTCCCCAGCTGCGCCATTACTTCCAGCAGCCACCGCGGTGCTCGCTGTGGGTGCTGCAGCCTCACCTTCGCCAGATGTGGTTAAAGGCTCTGCTGGTGGTCCTCTACAAGGTACCACGGTGGGGGGGCTGCTGTTAACATTGACTGATTCACTGGTGAAGTCCTCCCACCTCAAAGTCAAAACAATTTAGGTAATTCTGACTGCAGTGAAGTTAAGGAGAAGGTCTCCATCCATCCATCCATCTCTATCTATCTATCTATCTATCTATCTATCTATCTATCTTCCAATACAGGGTCACAGGGGGCAGAGCTTACCTCTGGCAGGATTGGGTACGAGGCCTTTCGTTGAGGGGTGCAGAGGTGGACATTTCAGGTACAGAAAGTAAAAATCCAGACCAAGATTTTGTTTCAAACAACCAGTTAAGTCACAGTCACACAGTACTCAACTGGTTGGTTGAAACAAAATCTTGGTCTGGATTTTTCCTCTCTGGACCTGAACACCCCCCCTCCCCGGGTGATATCATTTTGTCATGAAGGAATGAACTCCTCAAAAACATATATACATTTATCTTAAAGTTGATTGATTTACCAAATAGGGGTAGATTGAGCTGATTGAAACATATTTTGGGGCGGTTAGCGGCTCAGTGGGTCTAAGTCTCTATGCTGGTGATTGGATGATCACTGCTTCCAGGCCCAGCCTCGGCCCTTACCCCCAGTTTCAGGGGCGCCGCACGTTGGCAAACCTCGCACTGTGACCCCCCGCCCAAGCTAAGCAAAGCAAGACGGAAAGAATTCCAAAGTACCTGTACTTTAACTTGTGCAAACAACCAATGAATGATTTAATACAGGGGCGCTGATGTAAGGATGTTAAAGAGCTAGTGAGAATGATAAATGGTCTGCTGAACGGAGAGTGGAAAGGAGAAGAAGGCAAAGGTCAACGGAAGGGTAGGATCAATTTTGAGATAAGCTCCAGGTTTCAGACAGAAGTCAAACAAAAGACCTGATTCACTGGAGAAATTGAGAAGCATTGCATAATGTTTAGAGAAGTTAGAATGTCCGGAGGTGTCCTGAAGTGCATGTTGCCTTGGTGAAGAACCAAAATAATTGGGCGGGTCAACATTATATTGGAGTAAGCAGTATGGTTGCTAAGGGCATGTAGATGAACTCATTTTTGACCAATCAAATTAAAATGTATAGATCTGTCATGTTGGACTAAAACACACATAACCTTTAATTATTTAGAATAGAAACCAGAGAAATCTTGAGTGTGATTCCCTTTGTACAAAGAATAAACTAGGGCAGCATTGAAAGAAACTGTTCTCCTGCCTGACTGTTAATTGTTAACCTTTTGAGATCTGATATCTCCTACACCATAGTGGTTAGGGTTAACCCCGGTCCTTCTCCACCTGCCCTCTCCTTTCAGTACCCCTATAGGGACATGGATGTCAGCAAGGTGGTGCTGCACTTGATCCACATCACCATCAATACGCTGAACGCTCAGTACCACAGCTGCAGGCCCCACGCCACGGCCGGGCCCCTCTACAGCGACACCTCCAACATCAGCCGCTACAGCGAAAAGGAGAAAGGTAGGAGATCTGGCCCACTGGGGTCATTGCCGTGGAGGCAGAGGGTCAAACCCCAAACACGCGTATCTCCCATCCCGCAGAGGAGGACAGCGTTTTTGACGAGTCTGACATTCATGACACGCCGACGGGGGCTGGCAACAAGGAGTCGCAGACCTTCTTTGCCCGGTTGAAGCGCATCGGCGGTAGCAAGTCGGTGAAGTACCAGCCAGTGGAGCTCAACGCCCAGAAAAGTAGGCACTGCGGCCCTTGAAGGGTTTTCTCTCGGCTCTGCAGCTCCTGCAACCGACCCTGTCTAAGATTCTGGCAGAATTAGGACAGAAGGTTTTCATGGTCTTATGCTATGGTGTGGATTAAAGATCCCATCTGTATGAATTAAACATCAAAGTAGCATCAAACAAAATTGCCAAAAATTGCTAAATGAGTCCCTACAGCACTGGCCGAGTGAAAGGTTTATCAAGACAATGCAGGAGAGCTGATTATTGAGACTGTCGAGCAGCTAGAGTCATCAGTAAACAAATGAGGGCCTCTAAGGAACAAGCAGAGAGGAGAGCAGTGACAGCGAAGCACCAGGCTCCAGTTCATGCTCCATTTCAGCCTCCAATTCAGGCTCCAGTTCATGCTGCAGTTCAGACTCCAATTCCCACTCCATTTCAGCTTCCAGCTCACACTCCAGGTCAGCCTCCATCTCAGGCTCCCATTCATGCTCTAGTTCAGCCTCTGGTTCATGTTCCAGTTCAAGCTCCAATTCAGTCTTCAGTTGAGCTTCCAGTTCACACTGCAGTTCATGCAACAGTTCAGCTTGCAGTTCACACTCCATTTCAGCCTCCAGTTCAGGCTCCAGCTTAAGCTCCAGTTTAGGTATTCTATTCCATTCTAGGTTATTGCCTCCAGTAGGTAAACAGTCAGAGAATTTGTTTCTGTGACTACAGGAATGTTCCATGATTCACATTTTGTGTGACGCTGTCCACTTTGGCTGTGTGGTACTGGCCTCACTGCGCTGTCCCTGCCCACACCCTGCAGGTGACATGGAGCTGTCAGAGTACCGGGAAGCAGGCCCCCTGCAGGACAACTTGCTGCGCTGTGTGCGTCAGGAGAGCACCAAGAAGAAGCGTCTGCAGGCCATGCACAAGCAGAAGTCTCTGGACATCAGCAACACTGACTCCATCCTGTACAACCTGGACGAGCACCGGCGCAAGTCCTGCATTGACCGCTGCGACCTGCAGGGGCTGCCTGCACCCGCTGGCCACCCCCGACGCGGCGAGCCACAGGGCAAGGGCTCCTCTGACAGCTCTGCAAGCCGCGCTGAGGGCCCCAACGCCCAGGACCGCAGCGGATCCCGGGAAGTGGCCGCCGACGGCCGCAGGCCTGTCATCCCCGAGGTGCGGCTAAGCTGCATGGAGACCTTCGAGGACAAGCAAGGCTCCACAGAAAAGGAGGACCCCGCAGAAAAGGAGGACCCCGACCTTATCGACCTCTCCTCCGACTGCACCTCCATCCCAGAGAAGCACTCCATTCTCTCCATGTCCGACAGCGACTCCCTGGTCTTCGAGCCGCTGCCGCCACTGCGGATTGTGGAGAGCGACGAGGAGTTTGAAATGCTGGGCAGTCAGGGACCCAAGCCCAACGGAAGGCCGGCCGTGCCCGCTGTGACTGGGACGACCCTGCGGCCGGCGCCGGTGGTGCAGGTGAGTGTGGAGGACTGCTCAGTGGTGGGCCAGGACCCAGGCCCTACAGGTAGCCCCTTGCAGCTGCCCCAAGCGGGCCGGCTGACGCCCTCTGGTTCCGGGGATCTCCCGGACCCCAAGGGACTCGCCAGCCCCGAACGGCATAAGGACCCCTCGCAGGAGAGCCCACTGACCCTCAAGCAGAAGCGGGACCTGCTGCGGAAGACGCCAGCCGTGCCCGAGATGTCCCTGGATGACATCACCGCACAGGCCGAGGACCCAAAGGTCCCCGGTATCAGTCCTTCCGGCAGGGCTGTCTTCCTGAACCTTCCGGAAGATGGCGGGCGCTCCCCAAGTCCAACCGAAGCAGGGGATGCCACAATCCCCGGCAGCGATAACGAGGACCCTGATGACGACCTCGGGGATGAGGGCGACAGTGATCCCAAGCCCGAGGATGATGGCGAGGGTGCGGAATTCAAGATTCAGATCGTGCCCCGACAGCGCAAGCAGAGGAAGATCGCTGTGAGCGCCATCCAGAGGGAGTACCTGGACATCTCCTTCAACACCTTCGACAAGCTGGGAGACACACCAGCTGAGACAGGTGTGCGCATTTGCCTGCATTGCGAGTGCTGGTGGCTGCCTTTGCGTATGCGGCTTTTGTCTGACTGATTGCGCTATTGACACTGTTGTTTGTGTTTAAGCCTCAGGTCTGACTGTCCCTTTAAGAGTCTAAACATATCTGATTGTTAAACAACATCTTTTGATTGGACATGTTTTCTGTGGAGCATAAACTGCTTACACATTCTGCTTATTCTAATTCAACCATCAAGACCAGTGCAAAGAAAACACTTTAGCAACCAACTCCTTTAAATATATCAATAATTCTGTTGAAGCTGAAATCAAAAGTACAACTAAAAAGCAATACAGCAAAAAAGAAAAAATGAAATGTGGTTTTAGTCATTTCTGGACCAAATTATTAATTTAAAAAAGTGAATGTTACTGATTAGAGCGTTATTAACATAATAAATTACAAACAAAAGAGGTGTGGAAAACCGATGCCCCACCCCAACACAATCCCAGGCCACGCCCCCAGGCCCGCCCACTCTTGAGCTTCTAGTGAGGTCATGAGCTGCTGCTGTGCCCGTCACTCACCCCCGTTACCTTGCAGATAATGCAGCTCTGGCCACTCTGGAAAAGCCGCGGGGGTCTGCCTCGGCACCCGCTCTGGAGGCTGCCGTCCCAGACACAAACAGCCGCCCGTCGATAGCAAGTAGGAAACGCTGGCTGCTTCTTCCTCCTGTGCTCTGAGCAAATGGTTTGGTGGGACAAAGGCTGGGCGTCGCGCTGACGCTTGAATGACAGCCAGTTTCACCCTCGCCTCTGTTCTCCCTGTTATGGTCCCGCCCTTGTGATTGAGTGACAGCACCGTTGCTCCGCCCCCAGTCAGTGACATTTACTTCATTTCGCGCCACCCTTGGGCCAAAGAAAATCACTCAGCATGAAACAAATTTCACAGTATAATCTCACATTCTAATCTAATGTGAAAAACTTCAATTAGACAATATCTCTAAATATGAAACGCAAAGTCGGCAGAGCACAGTTTCGGGAACATAAAAATTCAATTAACAAAATGCTGAGGCATTGAAAAAGAAAAGGCAATTCGGCGTCGTATCACACTGCCCTACGTAAGACTCAGGCCTCCTGGGGGCTGAGAAACGGCTGGCTCACCATCTCCATCCGTGCTCATTTCGGTCAGATTCACACAGCTGTGGAAGTCAGTCCATCCTCTTGAGAAGATGCTGGTTCTGCCGTTAGATGGGGCTGAATTTCCCAGGGACCCAGCTGCCAAGCTTCCTGATTATGTCACAGCGGGCCAGTTTGGCTGGGAGTTCAGCTCGGGTACCAGGAGGATTGCGTTTCACAATGTGTGTATGTGTGTGTGTGTGTGTGTGTGTGTGCACGTGGGGTCCCCAGCCCAGTACCGACAGGCCAAGCGCGGCTCCCTGGGTGCCCTCACCATGAGCCAACTGATGAAGAGGCAGCTGGAGCACCAGTCCAGTGCCCCTCACAACATCAGCACCTGGGATACGGGTGAGTGACGTTGGCCTGCACCTATCAGGACCAGCCCCTAATAAGCCCTGCCTAACTGCAATGCCACACCCCCTCATTAGCATATCAATTATCACAAAGTATTCATACTGCATCAGGCATAGTTGTCCCTCTGCAGCAGCTCCATATTGAAAGCGATGATCCCGGTCAGGCCCTGAGGAACCCTTCCAGATGCCTGCTAAGTCCTTCCTGATCCTTGTGGCAGGCTGCCACCTGTTCTTGCCTCTCAGGGGCTAATGTTCATTTGGGCATCTCCCTAAACTTTGATTACAAACCTGTGTCTTGCCTGACAGCACCACCTTCCCCTGTTTGAGGCATGGCTGACATTTTAATTTACTTGACATTTTCAAGATGCGGAAACACTATGAATGTTTAATACCTCGGTTTACTCCCCACCAAGGGGTCTGTGAAGCAGGAAAGGGGCCCTGCAGGGACAGAGGGTGTTTAATTTGGGCCTGGAATGGTCCCGCTTTTGAAGTTCCGCACTTTTTGGCTCTTACGGTGTAGGAGCCACAAAAACCAGCCTCCTTTCGGCTCCCAGCACGGTCAGCATGTTCGTTCCCGCCCCGGAAGAATTCACCGACGAGCAGCCGACCACCATGTCTGACCGGTGAGGCCGGGTGCCGGAGGAGGGGTGGGGGGAAGGACAGGGCAGGTGGAAGGTCGGCGGAGCCGGCCTCACCCCTGTGTCCCTGGGGCCTCAGGTGCCGTGACTGCGGAGCCGTGCTGGAGGAGTACGACGAGGAGACTCTGGGCCTGGCGGTGGTGGTTCTCTCCATGTTCATCCACCTGAGTCCCGACCTGGCTGCCCCACTTCTGCTCGACATCCTGCAGTCCGTGGGCAGGTAAGCTGGGGCATGAGGTGGCTTCCTTTTTGTAACTGGGAGCTGGGAGGGAGCAGAATCACTGACTGCATGGCCAGGAGCTCACAAAATTCCCACAGAATTCCACCATTAATCACCCTTGTGTCTTTTAGGCTGGCATCAAGCACGAATTTCTCCGGCCAAGCTGAGAGGTACGGCCTTGCAATAAATCATTTAATACTTATTCAGCTCTTTGCATGTGTGTAAATGCCCAGTGCACTGTGGGTAAATGCCTGCTACATTTCAGCATGCTGATCCCGGGAAATGCACCGGGCGTGGCCAAGCAGTTTCTACGCTGCGTATTCCATCAGCTGGCGCCCAATGGAATCCTCCCGCAGCTCTTCCAATCCAGCATCAAAGGTGAGGGCGCCGCCCACAAGCCAATGGAAACACTCGGCTCTGACCTTTTTTGTAAACCTACCTTTTATTGGCAGATGGCAGCTTCCTCAGAACTCTGGCTTCATCCCTGATCGACTTTAATGAACTCAGCTCTGTGGCAGCTCTGAACCAACTGCTTGAGGTGAGATTTTTTTTTTTATGTACATTTTCAGAAGATAACTTTACTGTCCACAAGATCGGGAAGCTGGGTAAGCGGGCATGCTGGGAATCTGAAGCTGTCTTTTTTAAACCGTTGCTGTCCAGCAGGTGGCAGTATACTGCCACAGATCCCAAATAAAGGCACGATGTGGAAACATCCGGAAGAGCCTAGAAATATAGGTCTTTCTATGAAATGTTCAGATCTAAGAAATTCCACATTGTGCTTGGAGGAACAAACGGGTGTGATTTATACAGAAACCGTGCATCTGTAATGTTAGCTGTCTAAGTCAAGGTTTCTCAACCCAGTCCTCGGGGACCACCAGACGGTCCACGTTTTTGCTCTCTCCCAATTGGCAGGGAATTGGGAGAGAGCAAAAACATGGACCGTCCGGTGGTCCCCGAGGACCGGGTTGAGAGACCCTGGTCTAAGTGGTTCCAGCCAGAAAAATATTGACCTTCTCCTGGGTCGCTAGGGTCTGAACAACAAGAAGAGTTTGCCAGCAGGCAGTGCCATGCTGCACTGCCTCGACAACATCGCCACCTTCATGGAAGCTCTGCCCATGGACTCCCCCAGTAACCTGTGGACCACCATCTGCAACCAGTTCCAAACTTTCCTGACCAAGCTGCCGTCCGTCTTGCCACTGAAGGTGCCGCCTGCCACGTGGCTGAATAGCCGCCAAACGAGGCCCACGTGGGCACAATTTCCAGAGCCAGCACTTGCGGGTTCCGTCCCTAAAGGGCCACTTTTGTTGGCATGTCTCCCTAACAGTGTCCGCTGGATTCCAGCCTACGAATCATTATTTGCCTGCTGAAGATTCCAGCTGTAAGTGCTGCGCGGGTGAGTTTGGTTATTCCGATCTTAAGTATCTATTTGGGGTCAGTCAGTTTTAAAGGCAATCCAGTGCTTTTTGATATTCTTTACTATCTTTCCACATTTATCTGCCTTGGGAAATTGTTCAGTGTTTTTGTATGGCCAACCAAACTTGTTTCCTGGGTTTAGTGATGGGACAGTTTTTCAAAACCTCACCTCCTACCCACAGAGCTTGCTGGAGCCCTTCTCCAAGCTGCTAAGCTTCGTGATCCAGTACGGGGTCTTCAGCCTCTCCTACCTGATGGAACTGTGCAGCCTGTGCTACCGAGCCTTCAGCAAGGTAATCAGCCCGGCCCTGGGGAAGTGGGCTTGGTTGTCTGTTTTAGTGAGGCACCCAATCAGAACGTTACTTATTTGCATATTCTCACGCTAATAAGCTCAGCTGAAACCAGGCCTGGTGCCATAATCCGGGCTTGTCACCAAGATAACTGGCTCTCTCACACTGTTTACACAGTTATTATTTTGCAGTGTTACTTACATCAATTCCCTGAATCCACACTGAGCTCCATCTCTCACTGGTCCTATTCTGAGATATGAGGGAGTGATGTGTCATTGTGCCTGTTGAGTGTAGAGCACCACAGCAGCCAAGGACAGACTCAAACTGACCCTCTTGTAATCCTGCACAGCCATGACAATAGCAGAGAATGTAACCAGATTCTCCCGTTTTCCTCTCACCTGCACATTGGCGCCCTCTGGTGGCACATTGAGTGGACCTATGTAGTCTTCTGCTGTTACTGGGGCCAGATGGGTAGTGTGTAAAGTCAGACAGTACGATACTTATCTTCTCTCTTCCCCCATGCTGTCCAGGAGAGAGATAAGTTCTACATGTCACGTGTCGTGGTCCTGGAGCTTCTGCAGGCTCTGAAGTTCAAGTCTCCTCTTCCAGACACCAACCTGCTACTGCTGGTCCAGGTGAGACGTTCTGAGTCCGAAATTCCACAGCATGCTACCGGTCACTGCATACGAGTGAGAAGACCCAGCAACGCAAATAAACCAGAACAGCAGTAGTGATACAAATGGCTGACTTGTAACACAGAATGCCAGAGGGAACCCGGGGACAGGCAGGGATCACCCCTGGGGATTATGGGTAAAATAAGCGACTGAACACCCATAAGAGTCTGTAAGATTGTAGGTTTGACATGGGTGACTTGGGGATGCCGGTCCCTCCATGTTCATTGACCCCCCCGTATGTGTAGTTCGTCTGTGCAGACGCTGGGACGAGGCTGGCGGAATCCACCATCCTACAGAAGCACATGATCTCATCACTTCCTCCGGTGAGTGGGCACTGCACGTGCCCCGGGACGTCGTGGTGAACGGCACACTCTGCCTGGGGTGGCCACCCGCTTAGGGAGCGTATTCTATCTCTGCCACACGACCGGCAACCAAACGAAATCGCCACCCAGACTCCCCGGAAGGCTCCACGCCCCAGCGGCTGACGGCAATGCTCTCTCTCTCTCTGCAGGGCACCACTGCAGCCATGGAGTGCATGAGGCAGTACACCAGCGAGGTGCTGGACTTCATCGCAGACATGCACACGCTCACCAAGCTCAAGGTGTGTCCTCCTCACCATCATAGACCTGCTACATTAGCAGCACCTCTGTTATTACAAACAAACAAACAAGCTCAGCTGAAAGAGGGGCGGTGAGCATTTCTGTTCTTAAGATTTCGACATGAACAGTATTACTATGAATAACAAAAAAACAGCATTAATATGGAGGTTCATGTGCAAAGCTGGATTTTCCCTATAGCTGCACTCGTCCTTATTATACACACTAAGAGTGCTGACATTTACAAGCGGACAGATGGTGTCTACATGTGCCGATCAGTCACATGACCTCCATCCCACCCCAGAGCCACATGAAGGCCTGCTGCCAGCCGCTCCACGAGGACACCTTCGGTGGGAACCTCAAGGTGGGCCTGTCGCAGGTGGTCGCCATGGAGATCAGCAAGGGAAATCACCGTGACAACAAGGCGGTGACGCGATACCTGCCCTGGCTCTATCACCCTCCGTCTGCCATGCAGCAGGGGTGAGTGGTCGCTTCACAGAGGCCAGTAGCACTAATCCCGGGGTGGCAGTAGGGTTAAAAGAGAGTGACAGTAAATAGCAAGTAATGAGTGATGAGTAATGAGTAATGAGTAATGAGTGATGAGTAATGAGTAATGAGTAATGAGTGATAAGTAATGAGTAATGAGTAATGAGTGATGAGTGATGAGTAATGAGTAATGAGTGATGAGTGATGAGTAATTAGTGATGAGTAATGAGTGATGAGTAATGAGTAATGAGTACCTGAGAGGTGTGCATCCCCCCCCCAGGCCAAAGGAGTTCATCGAGTGTGTGTCTCACATCCGTCAGCTGTCATGGCTGCTCCTGGGGTCACTCACCCACAGTGCCTTGCACCAGGGCTCCATTTCCTGTATGCCCATCCCTCTGGACGCCGGCTCTCAAATCGCCGACCATCTCATCGTCATACTGATCGGCTTTCCAGAACAGTCCAAGGTAGGCGGGCACCGTCTCCACCAATCCTCCGGCAGGGTTAGCTCTGAGGTCACGCTCAGTCGCCGTGGCTGGCGGCTCTGAGGTCACGCTCAGTCGCCGTGGCTGGCGGCNGCTCTGAGGTCACGCTCAGTCGCCGTGGCTGGCGGCTCTGAGGTCACGCTCAGTCGCCGTGGCTGGCGGCAGGAAGTCGCTCGCTCCCAACACTCTGTGGAGCCCCGGCGTGCTTCTCCGGAGCAGGCGGCGGGGGTGGGGGACGGCACGAGGGCCCTTCCCCGTGTCTGCGGGGAGAGCAGCTGTCACGCAGGAAGACACTTTAATGGCAGCCATTAATCTGAGGGGCAGAAAAAGCGCAGGGACTCGCGGTGGCGGCGATTCATCACGCGGCTCCCAACAGACGCGTGAGCGCAGCTGTCAGCGCCGCGAGACAGACAGGGGGCAGCAGAGCGACCTGTCGCCGTGCACGCTCACGTCGGTCATCCGCGGCCACCCGAGGCTTCAGCAGCCATTCAAACGGGGCCTTTGAGTTCTTATTTTGGGGTGGGGGGGGGGATGTTATTGCAATTTACAGGCAGTGTTCCAGAAATGTAACTTTCTGAGCAATTTGGCATTCCCAGCTGTAATCGGTTGCACGCAGTTCAAATGAAACCCGGAATGTGCATCTTTGCAGGTGAGCGCACCACTAGACACGCCTTTGTTCTCTCAGGGTCTTTTATTTCCCCCCCCCCCCCCTGCCAAACACACACAGTATCACACGGCCTGCTGCAAGAGTTTACAGTCAAGGAAAGTTGCCACTGTGTTCAAGTTTGCTGTAATATTCAAAGAGACCTTGGGACCAGGTTTTGTCACGCCGTGTCTTTAAAAGGCGGGGCTGTCCTGTCACTGGAGCCCTGCCCTGTTTGCCATTGGCTGCAGGCTGCTCTGCTTTTTGCTCATGCTATTCCTCAGGTTCCTAACTGCCTTCCCATTTGTATGGTAGCTCACTTACAGGCTCTGTCAGGAACAGGCAGCCCTGCTCAGAGGGCTCTGCTGAGCCCCTGTGACCTCACTGACTCTGTGACTCACACTCCCCCCCCCCCACCCCATGTCGATGTCCCCTCCAGACCTCGGTTCTCCACATGTGCTCCCTCTTCCACGCCTTCATGTTCGCCCAACTCTGGACCATCTATTGCGAGCAGGCGGCCGCCCCGCCCGCCCTGCAGAACCAGAACCAGAACGAGTTCTCTTCCAGCGCCATCCTCACTGGCATGGAGTTCTGGAGCCGCGTCACGCCCAGCATCCTGCAGCTCATGGCCCACAACAAAGTGGTGAGACCACCTACCCGCCCTCATCCGTATATCTGACTAGAACTTCCTGATGAGATCACAGAACTCAGCCAGAGCTCGGACCTACTGGAGTTCTGCCAGAACTTATAAATAGCTTCAAAGCTGAGCTTACAATTAATGCACAGCTGTAACTGGCATCTTATATGGAGGTGAATGAAGACTCAGCTGGGGGGGAGGCGGGGGGGCTCTGTCCTGGCAGAAAGGCAGTGATGGTGCACTGGAACATGTGCCGTCAGTCACTGTTTAGTTTTCACAATCTGAGCTGGTAACCAGTGAGTAAAAACAAGTGGGTAAAAACAAGGAAGTGACTGACTGAGAATATGTGATAATCCCAGAAATCAGCAGCATATTCAGGGGGCGGGGCTACAGGGGCACGGGTTCCAGCTGGAAGCTGATTGGTCCCCAAAGTGACCCCCGTTACTCACTTCAGAATATGTCATTGGCTGATTATGAAGTTGGCCCCTCTGAATGAATCGTGAATGAGTGACTCCTACAGCTGGGATAGCTGCAGTGACCCGTGCCTGACCCCCACACTTATTTACGGGGGCTTGACCCACGTTTGAGAGGCTGGGCTCTTGACCCCTCGGTCCCTGCACCTCCTCAGCTGTACTTACTTCCCGTTCTATTCCCAGACATGTTATTTATAGTTCTGTGTCGGCCCTTCACCTCATCCAATTTTCCCACTCAGATGTTAACCTTTGACCTTCAGTATAGATAAGGTTGCTGGCCATTCTTGTCTCAAACCCAGGAAGGCACATTGTTATGGCAACCACTGTCAGATACCTGATCCAGAGCCTGATCCACCCCTCCTCTCTCCTCCGTACCTTTGACTACTTCCCCTCTCTCCCAGATGGTGGAGATGGTCTGCTTGCATGTCATCAGTCTCATGGAAGCTCTGCAGGAGTGCAACTCCACCATCTTCGTGAAGGTCGGTGGGTCAGCCGCTCTTGCTGCTCTTATTGGCGGGGCTGTGTGCCAATCAAATGCAGAGGAACACGCCCCCCCCCCACAGGGTCAGGATCAGGGCCTATCTGCAGCAAGCACAGTCAGAGGCATTATGACCTTGACTAATCAAACTGATATTTTTCACCAAGAAATCCTTTTACATTTATGGAACAAATGTTAAAAACATTGTCGGTCCCTTTAAACAGACTTGTTAAAGTCAGCTGAGAGTTTATGATTTCATTGCACGTCTGGAGCACCTTGAGCATGAAGCATCCCAAAGACAGCCTGACGAGCTGCTGCTTTCCTCTTCTCTTTAAACAGCTGATTCCCATGTGGCTGCCTTTAATCCAGTCCAGCTTAAAGGTAACTTCATGTTCTCCATACAGATACTGAAGAAAACATGTCTAGAGGAGACGATCTCGAGCACGGCCGGTTCTAGCTGTAGGGAGAATACACAGTGACTAAGGGTCCCCTGATTATCTGTGTCACGGAGGAAGTATAATGCTCATCAGTGTTGTTGGTTGGGGGGCCCCTTAAAAGGTAGATCTGGCCGTGATCAAGGGTGTTTTTTACAGTCTCTAATCATCTACATATACTTTAGTACCGGCCTTTTTGAAATGAATAAAAGTGTCAGGTGATTCTAGAAAGACCGATAAATGTCCTATTATGTAAACTTAGGTTTTAAAGTTTTCTTGCTCTTGATCTGTTTAGTTCACATTACACCGTGCTCACATTCCTATTGGCTGATGCTGTATAGTTGCATTTAAACGTTGCCATGGTAACGCCGCCTGCCCTCCCCCTGCAGCACCTGTCGGCCGGGCTGCAGCTGCGGCTGCAAGCCATCCAGAACCGCGTGAACCACCAAGTCCTGCAGGGGCTGCCGGGCTGCGGCCAGCCGTCGCCACCGCCCTCCGCCCTGCGCAAGTGGCTGCAGTGCACGCAGTTCAAGATGGCGCAGGTGGAGATCCAGTCGTCGGAGGCAGCCTCACAGTTCTACCCCATGTGAGGAGAGGCCCGTCCCCGGTCCATGCCCTTGCTGCTCCACGACACCTGTCCACGTCCACAGCCTCAGAGTCAAAGCAATAGAGCAGTGGCAGACCTGTCACGGGGACAAGGCATTAGCCAGAGGGTCTTGCTGTTGTACCCTTGAGCAAGGTGCTGACCCCACACCACTCCAACCGAGGGGCGACTTACATGCAAGTTACTCTGGGAAACTGCATCGACAAAGCAATCAAACATCAGAGGAACCGAATCCTCAGAATGGCCTTGTGGGGGAGAGCAGGGGCTGATGGGAAATATCAGCCGGCAGTGAGGAGGGGGTGTCCCTTAGCATTGACGCTTAGAGGTGAGGCCTGTTCAAAAGCTAAGCTGACACAACCGTGCAGTCAGCATGGAATCTGGCCTCCACACTTCTCCTCTGCAGAAATATCTGCCACGGCTGGGGGGTCAGGGGGTGGGATGGCTCCCAGATGCCCTCTGGGAGAAGGTGAGAGGACCACAGGAGCAGTCCAGATGGAGTAGACCTAGGATGTCTCGCTTGGACTCGCTGCCTGTGCCCCAGACCTCGTGTCCATCGCTCAGTGACACCATGTTTACTTCCTGTTGCCCTCGCCGTTTGTGGTCAAATAACAGAATTAAATAAAAAATAGTTTTTTTCCAAGTCTGCCGTCCTTATCTTTCATGCCTGTGTTTGATCAATGGCTTCTTGTTAACAGGGGTAAAATGACTCAGCATTTCAGTGAATGGACACAGGGGTGTCGCTATGATCCAGGCTGGGATGGAGGGGTTGGCATAATAAAATTTGCTGGGAGGGGGGGAAATCAGTCATTGATGCTACTTGCATTAAACTATTTCACATAATACAATTACTGTTTTTTTACCCTTAATATTAGTAAAAGAAACTGGATCTGTGTTCCAAAATACATTCATTCAGTGTCTGTTGCAGCATTTTATAACAACAAAAGCACGTTATGCATTATACAGATAACAAACAAAATATGACAAAAAAAGACTTCAGGCTTTGCTAAAAACATTCAGAGCTTAAGCCTCACTAGACCGACCCTGGCGCCGTCTCTGGAGAGTCATTCCTGCTGGGACACTGTCTGCGTTGTCGGTGAGTCACATGACCGCCCATGTAACAGTCACATATGAGTCACATGACCGCCCATGTGACAGGTCCTCCAGGGTTTCCCTGTGCCTAATGGGCTGACTCATATTCGCTCCCTGGAACTAGGCCCTAGCCATCACATACTAACAGGCCTTAACTATTTTTGACACTACACCCGCCCCCCCCCACCCCAGCCATCTTGGGAGAAAACACACCTCCTATGGCACTGTAGACTCCTGAGTCTTTCCCAGCAGCCAGATTAGCAGACAGTAAAGCCCGCTGACCCTGCCCATTAAAGACCCCCCTCCATTAGGGGCAAGCCCAGCTCTGGGAGGTGGGGGTGGAGAATAACTCAATAAATGGGAAGACAACAGGTAGAGCAGGGCTCTAACATCCTCAAGTCATACCCTAAGCCAGCCCCCCTCCCCCACCCCAATTAGCCGTGCCACAACAGTCAGCCTGCCTAGAATCAATGAAATGCAGTTACCTCTGGCTCTAACATTGTTTGCTGTGATAAAGCGTGCTTGTAAGATTTAATTTGACATACGGGGGCCCTGGAATATCAGAACAGGAGCAAGGTGGCCCGGCTGGCATTGCACGGCGTATCACTCCGCACCTGTCGGACCTCAAAACGACCCTTCCTGCACCAGCAGGTAAGAAGTCACTGGATTTGAGGAGGGTCAGACGAACCAGAGCGGCTTTCGTTCGCAGACAGTGGCGCAGCCCCCCGTGGGTAAACGTCAGGTGCAGTATTTCTGTGTCTTATAATTGGACAGAGGGGCTGTCTGGCCGGCACGTTATTCACTTACCCGCTCAGAGAATTACCACGGTCAGACGTAACACGATGCAGGCGCTGGACTGCGGACGGGAAAAACCACACGCCAAATCGCAGCAAAAATCGCAGCGTGCAGGAAAAAGAAAAGAAAGATGATTCAGGTCTTTGTGGGTCAGAACCGTAGTCTGGGACACTAAGGTGAAACAAAGCGAAAGCATGGCTCTCTGTGAGAGAAGGACGGAGGTGCAGCTACACATTCTGGGCCCCTGACAAAATGTCACCTTGGGCCCCTCTGTCCCCTTTATATACATTTATAATTTTGTATACCCAAGGGCCCCTGTGAAGTGCTGGGCCCCCCTAAATCTGCCAGGGTATCCATGATCCTACTGCTCCCCAGATGAGGGACCATGTCAGCAGTCTCCGGGCACTGAACCCAGTCACATAGGGTCAAGCACCCCCTGATCTTCTTGACGGTCCTTCGGTGACCCATTCCCATCATCCCCCGTGCTCATTAAAATGGGCGACGCCCCCCCACCAGGTGTGATGGGGTTGTGATACTGAGGCCACACCTGCCAGATGCCTGCATTTGAACCTGGGTCCCTTTAAAGCCCTCAGCCTCTCATTAGCATCAGCTCATATAATTGGCTACCCACGCCGCCCCCCCCCCCCACCTCATGCCAAATGACCCCACGAGTGGTGGGCTGGAGCAGAAAAATTATCCAAAAAATAAAACGCTAAAAAGGGCAAAGAAACGGCACCGTTTCTGCGGTTCGGCCATTTAAAATCACACAGGTCACCACGGTGACGGCACAGCTCTGGACCGGAGCCCACCTGCTAGCCTCCATGTGACAGATGAGTCAGATCCTCCACCGGGTGTCCCCAAGTCCAGCTGGCACATCACACACAATGCAGGGCTACGGGGGGGGGGGGGGTCGGGGGGAGGAAGGAGGGGATCGATTCCTGGCCACATCCTGCCAGCCTCACCTGACGCCACAATGCACACCCTCATTCCCTTCGGCACCATCCTGCTGAGTTTAATCAAATGTTAATTGCGGGGGGGGGTGGCAGTGGTGGTGACCTGTCCTTTGAGTGGAAGGGGATTGACGTGTCAGTTCCTTAATCAGCCCCAAGCACTATCCCTGACTCATGGTGCTCGGGGGAGGCGGAGGGGAATAAGCAGGAACAGCTGACCGCGATCCTACTTCAGGGGTGTAAATATAGATTAATGACTGTCAAAATGAGTGAGGGAGGCAGTGGGGCCCCTGCCAGGGCTCGTGCGATGGCCCACTGCGCCGGACACGGCGCTGACCCAGGTGGCCCGCCAGCTGTAAGCCAGAGTGCGAAGGGGGCAGAGCCAAAGCCCGGCTCGGGGGCACAGAACCCGCAGGTTTTTGCTGTGGACACACTGAAAATGACTGGTTCTGTTTCTCTGAACTTCAACAGGCATCGTCACAGACTGTGATCGAGGACAGAAACGGGTCCGTTGCAGTGCTGGGTCCAGTACAGAATCACTAAAGGGTGCATCTGAAATTAATGAGGGGGCACGATCCCCGCAATTACGTCCCTGTCATGGACTGATTAGCTCACACTGGAGGGGGCACATTATTAATGTGAGGGCGCTAAGTACCCCTAGGTACCCTTTTAAGCCGGGGTCTGGTCAGTTGTGACCCCAAAAACAAACATGCCTGCATAAAACATAAAGCAAGATGAACTACAAGGAAAAATACACGCCAGGGACATGGGGAAAGGCTGCGATAAGAGTGTGTTCAGGACTCCACTCTCGTTTAAACTAATTTAAATTAATTTGTGTACAGAAATTGTGCAAATGACGCCGCACCTTGTAGACACTGGCTAATCTCACTTTTTTCTGGGTTGGGGGGTCACTGGTGACGATGCTTAGCAGCTTGCCATACATCATACATGGATGAGTCGGGCTTAATATCACGATGATGCAGCCATCTGCAGGCAGAGAAGAGCGATGATTCACACGCTGATACCGGCGAGGTCACTCCTCCCATCCAGGTTTCCAGTCAACAAATCGCCTCTTTTTCATGTGCCCACCAGGATTCAAAGACTCGGGATGTCAAAGAACCGGTGAAAATCGCTCCCCGGCAGCCATTGTGATGTCCACATTTCAAATGTACTCAGACAGTCAAGCGATCGCCCGCTGCAGGCAGTAACGGATTCGCAATGTCTGAATTGCAAAGGCGTTGCTTATCAAATGCACGCCGGTCATGGCTGAACAATTAAAATACCTTGAAACTGGGACATTCACACAGGAAAACGCATGGTTTCCTGGCTTCGTCCCTGCAAACGCAGCATACGATCTCGAGCCCCTCACTTACAGTGGATCTGCAGATAACCCTGGGAGGTATGTGAGACTCCAGCCAGAACGCAGACTGTATGCTTAGCAGTGTGTTAGTGTCCTTGGTGAGAGGATTTGTTGACATGCTAAGGACACACACTAGTCTGACTGGGCCCGTTGTATCTTCACCATTGTCTGCAAACACAATCTTCACAGAGTCTTCATCACTTGCCCTTTACAGCCACAGAGCTCCTTTGTCTTTCCACCAGACAAACATCCAAAGGAATTATCCTCAAAGTCTCTCCACCCTCTGATCCAGCGCCTCTCTTGGACAGTGGACACTCTGGGGAGTGCAAACGACGGATAAATAGATTTACACCCCCAGGTTTATGCCAGGTCTGTCCGACAGCCTTTGTCCTCGTCTGTCCCCCCAGCCATCATTAAGCTTCAGACATTGAAGCCTCTCTCTCCCCCCCCCGACTTACATTATCTCTATTTTTCTCCCAATCCAGTCTCCCTTTGACACACATCTTGGGAGGGATGAAGATTAGCAAACATTTACAGGCTGCAGTCATCATCAAGGTCAAGAGAGACGCTGGAGAAGAAAACTGTTTACTCACAGCCTGTAGACGCCCAGCTGACAGGAGACTCCTCGTCATGTGACGGAAGCCTGAATCAGCACAGGAGGGAACAACCGTGGGCCCCCAGTGCGGAGCTGCCCACACTGCAACTCCCAGCATGCCATTGGGGTGGGATTCTTTTGGCAAACGTTGAGGTACAGATTGATGTTAGACTGCTGGAGCCTGTTAAGTATCCCGGGAAACGAAGGCTCACCTGTGAGTTCATCCTGGGTCGATTAACGACATCGCCGAAGACCCCTGCTGATTGGCAGCTCATCCCAAAAGCGGTGATCTCAGCTTCAGCAGGTAAGGAAGTAGCAAATCGAAGGAAAAGGAAGAACCATCTCAGCGACAGAGCCGACTTCAAAAGAAGGTGCCGTCCCATTAGCCGGGGGCTTGGTGACTGCAGCCCTTAACGGCGTTAATTATTAACCAGCACCGCAGAGGTGGCAGGTTCCCCGGCCACCCGGGAGCCTCCCGCAGGGGTGCTGACGGCGGTGAAAACCAGCCCTGAGGGACACTGGCTGCTGTGCGGATGGTGCGACATCCGATTCTCAGCAACGCTCATGTGGAAGGACAGCCCCAGGCTTCAAGTGGTACAATTTTATTTAAACCTAAAAAAGGTCAGCATGTCGCAGGTAAATTGGTTCAATGCACAGTATGTATGTATGTACACCCAGTGGCCAGTCTATTAGGCGCACCTGCTGGCTACCACAAACAGCCAATCACGTGACTGCAGGTATACCCATGGACCATGCAGCTGGAGTCGCTTGCTATTTGGCTTAACATTAGAACGGATAAGACAGTATGATTGTTGGTTCCATACACTGTGGTTCCGTCATCTCAGAAACAGCTTTTCACATGCTGCAGGGTCTAGACCAGGGGTGGGCAATCTTATCCGCAAAGGGCCGGTGTGTTTGCAGGTTTTTGGGATAACCTTTAGGTCAGCTGTTCAAACCAAGCTGTGAGGACTCTTCTGCCAATCAGTCCTCTAATTAGTAATCTAATTAGGGAGTTGCAGCGAAAACCTGCATACACACCGGCCCTTTGCGGATAAGATTGCCCACCCCTGGTCTAGACTGTCCAGAGAATGATGTGATTAACAAAACTTTCCAATGGCCAGACTCGTTAAAGCTAATAGGAAGGCCAAAAATCCAATAAAAGAACACAGCTCAGTACAACACAGGTGAGTAGAATTCCTCCACTGAACCTCATCGCCCCTAAAAGTAGGTCCTACCTGGTCCTAACTAGGTGTACCTAATACAGTGGCCACTGAGTGTATGTATATATTTTTAACATTTCGGTATGCAGTGCATACACTATGAAACAACCTTTAATTACCAAAATATACATTAATGGCTTGCTCCGGAAACATCACAACATTTACACAACTCTGTTTAGTAGCATATCAGCAACCTCCATCATAATGTTTTTGCCCATATAAACATATTTTCATTGGTTCTGTACATGTGATAGACAGTCACAGAGGCAGATTCAGTATAATGCTTGTATTTACATTCATGCATTGTTATTCTGACTAAACCTTTGTACATACTATAATACAGACATTTTCCAGTGCCAGGTACACAGTGGGTATATAGAGCTGCAGTACATCAAAAAGCAAGGACTGGGCTCTCTGGCTCGAACACGTAATTCTACAGCAGGAGAAGAGTCACCCCCCACCCCCCCCCCTCACACACACACACACACAGGCAGCAGTAATTTATGCTAAGAGTCTACTCAAACTAGTAATTTAGGTTATAGTGCCTCTGCTGACCTGTGTAGAATATAAAGGGACCATACATATTTATTTAGGGGAATAAATCATATTTAAAAAAAAACAGCACAGGAAGCTAGATCTGATTTCAGATCAGCCAACCTGGCATTTTGACCCAAAAGGTTAAACTGTAGATTGCTTGGCTAGATAGCTCATCTTCAATAAGTCAGCCGGCCTTTTCTTATTGGTCACCGTCTTGACTCAAGCTCTACCAATAGTAGCCTCGGCTTTGTAGTCCTTACTGAGACAGAGCACCAGCATGCAGGCACCTTCAGAACCTCACGTATGACTTCACCCTCCCATCAAGCTGCATGACCCGTCTACAAACCCAACATTAATCTGGTTAAAAAAACACGCGAGCGGCCTATAAAGGGGTAGGTCCAGTTCCTGTGGTGATACAGTACAGAGACCAGGATGAAACAGCGAAGAAAGCGGGGTGCGCGAACTGAGGCACACAAGAGTAAGCATAACAACACACAGACACACACACATGTTCCTAGGTTAAAGGTCAGCTTGCAGAACACGAGGCACACAAACAAACTGTAGCGCAGAACAGCGGTCCAGGGGCCTTTCTCTGAGCCTGGACGTCTTTAAAGCCCTGCTGATATTCAGCAGTCATGGAGCCCAAACTCCTATGTGAGACACCAAGCAAAACCAAATGCATGATCCAAACTACGACGAACGCTCCATAGATATCTGTACACAGTAGGACACGTGTACTCCGATGTGCCTTTATGCAAACGGTATATAGAGTATACTGTACGACACTGTAACAGACGCACACAGCTTTACATATTAAAGCTGAAATAAAAATGGTATTCACTCCAAAATATGAAGTATATTTTGACTGCATATTTAGGTATCGGGGCTGTAAATCTGACTTCAGTTTCACGTGTGATTTTATTCATTAAGTTTATTTATTACCATGCCGAAATGAGGGCAGAAACAGACCACATAGTAAAACCGCCACAACAAGACAGAAAGCTCCGGAATTTGCATAATTAACTTAATCAGCAGGCGTGACGACGAGTTACACAGAGAGAGATCCTCAGCCGGCATCGGCAGAGACAGAGCCGATGGTGACAGCTTGTGCTGGGCGGCGCTGCACACGCTCCATGCTTCCTGCTACCTCCGCGCACCCGTAGAAATTGCATAGTCGGAGGAGGCCAGCAATCCATTTTTTCAGGCTCCCGTGGCGATGCTGAAGCTGTGTGAGGCAGCAGGCAAAGTCTCTGAAGCTCTCCTGGAACTAGAACCCCCCCCTCCCCCAGGTCAGGTCACCGGCGGTGGTAACGAAAGCCCCAGAAAACCACCAGAGGGAAATCAGGTCCGGAAAAAAGTGCAGAGACAGAAGGAAAGAAAGGAGACGAATCTTAAAAAGTTGCTGCATTCTGCAAAAAAAATAAATAAATGCATGCATTTTCCTATTTGCTATTGTTATTCTGCGTTCCTGTGATGGGAGGCGTTTGAGAGGAACCTTTCAGGCGGCTGCCAGCTGTCAGCCCCGTCTCTGCAGGCCTGACACCCGGCTCAGAACAGCCACGTCCGGCCGTGCATATTAAGGAGGCTCTGCGCTCCCCGGCTTCCCGTCTCTCTGCAGAAGCGGCCGGGGGACTGGTGCGTGTGTGTTTGGGCCTGTTTGTGGTTCACCTCCCTTCCCGTCCTGCCGAAGGCTGGGTCCATTGGCTTCCAGGATTTCACCTACGTTGCCTATCAGCGAGGATCTTGGGGGGTGTGGGGGGGGGTCGCTGTTTTATGGGGTCCGGGGGAACGTGGCGGTCGCCGTGGTGATCCTTCCTCCTCCCCCCCTACACAGCGGCGTTGTTGGTGTCTAGTACCTTCTTGCAGCGGGAGCTCATGGCGTACTCACCTCGACTCGCCCCGTTCTCCTCCTTCCGCTGCGGTTTCCTGCAACACAAACCATTTGGCGTCGTGAGCGAAGTGGCGGGTGTGCACTGGGCGGCCCGTCACTCAAGCGCAGAACTCATTCCCAGTTTTCCCCTGTTTCCACGACTCACATTCTGGACAACCAGCAAAGCCCTATCCCACACAAGCCCTAGGAAAGGGGCACGCTGGAAGGACCCAAAAAGCCACAGCTTTCAAAATATTGATTCATGTTTCCATAGTTAAGCTAAAGAGAGTATCAGTGTGCGGTAGCATCTGGTCTGCTTGCTCTCTCACACCATCTTCATCATCATCACCATGACGGACACCACCATGATCATCAACTCCATCATCATCCAGCACTCAAACTATGGAAGCAGCTTCACAGTGACCTTAACCAGTTATATAACCCCCCCCCCCACACCCCCACCCCTGCTGCAGTGGTACAGGCCCGAAGGAGGATCGGATTTGCAGTATTCCCACACTTGTGGTTCACTTAGGAGATGTGAAAGTACTGCCGGATCCAGAGGCGCAGAGGGGGCGGGGGGGTGACAGACAGGGAATGGGGGCGCGGGAAGGCTCCACTGGGCGGGACAGTCGGGGCCAGATTCTTGGAACAGACGAGCGTGTGACATTCTGCGACTGTCGCTTCCGGCTGCGAAGTCAAGCTGGGGACCGAACAGCCGGAAAATATAAAGAATTCAGATCCGGGGACCTTCACAAGCCCCGGCGTTCAGAATCTACGACAGGATTGTGCGGCATCAACACAAAAAGCAGTCACACGGAGTCTATGAAGCCCGAACAATGCGGCAGTTAAGTCCGCAATAGTCCTCATGGAGAATCGTGGGGGGGGGGGAGGTGGGCTCCTCACCAGCCAGACCAAAATTGGGTAAACAGGAGCTGCAAAGTGGGAATGAAAACCTGCACGGCCCCCATCACCCCCATCGGCATGCCGTGGCTGAGGATGTAATAGCTGGAGGTGTCATAGAGGCAAATATTAGTGCTGCCATCTACTGGACCACAGGAGGGAGCATTGCCCTTAGGGCAACATCAGCCTTCAGCTGAACACCCCATAGGTAAAAGCACAGGTGAACCAGGGACTGAACAACCCCTCCTTCCAGATTTTTCTATCTCCCAATCCTCCGTGGGACACAGGGAATAACGAATGGCTTGAGGCAGCAGGTACGGGGCTGTGCTGAGTCTCCCTGGAAGCGCGGCTCGCCGGCAGGGACAGCTGCATGTTTAACGCCATCTCTGCTTCCACGCCGCCTTTCACTGCCGTTTCTTTCCATTCCTGCTTATTAGCAGACGTCCTGCATCAGGCAGGAGGGGCTGAATACAAACTCGCCCGCTTCTACTCTTCCCTTTTGTTTGGTTCTTCTTCCACTGGGTCAGATTGAATTAACCCAAAGGTCAGTCCAGAGATAGGCTTCATTTCCTGGCTGAGTTTGGTCTATATCCTGGAGCCCCCCCCCCCCTTGTGACAGACAACAGCACCTGAGCCCACCGGTCAGAACAAGCCCAGGCACAAAGCCAAGTGTGAAGGGGGGGACAGGTCTGGGGGCACCCAGAAAGGGCTGCTGTGTATGCGTTTATTTCGCTACAACTCCCTAATTAGATTACTAATTAGAGGACTGCTTGGCTGAAGAGTCCTCACACCTGGGTTTGAACAGCTGACCTAAAGGTCACCCCCAAAACCTGCACACACGCCGGCCCTTTGCGGATATGACTGGCCAACCCTTCATGAAAGTATCCACCATATAAGTGTCCCAGTTCACCTTTTGTCCCACTTAACCGATATTCATCCTACAATTTATCCTTTGAATGTTTTCCAGACAGTTATGTACAGCTGTAATGGAAACGTACAGATTGTTTGAAGCAAAAGTCAGGAGACATAAACTTAAACACCGGAGCTGAACTAAAGCTAGAGCAAGCCGCAGAGGCTCAGCTTTCGCCTTCCGCCTTCTCTGGCCTCCTGTCTCTTAGCAGGGGCTGTGAAACTTTTCATTTCAAGCTCAAGGGCTCTGGCTGCATCTCCCATGCGCCGGGTCCCGTTACGGCGAAAGCGATCCGGCTAAATCCTGCCCCGATGGGACAGCAATAAAAACGCCAGAGAGAGCATGAGAGGTGCCGGCGGGCTGCCGTTTGGTGATTCTGTCTGCGGGACACGGGGAACGCCACACACGCCCAGCTGGGGGGTAGAGTCGCTACCGCAGAGGAAAGCAGCAATGTGGCTGGGAACCTCACAGGGGTTCATACTGATTTTCACGCGAGCTGTCTGGCTGATGAATGGCGCAGACAGGCAATCAGGACGGCCGTCAGCTGCTGCCGTCAGCATTACAGCACGCTCTGCTTTTCCGTCGGCTAAAATCAATGAAGTGGCATAAAAAATAATCAACGATCCCCCCCAGACACAGTGATCCACCTTCCAATGTCTATCTTCTAGAGGTAGTGCTTTCGAAAGCTGATTGAAAGGTAGGGAACGCCCCACACCGGATTGAGGGAGATTAAACTATGGACATTACATCCATCACTCTGCAAACAGGTTTCACTAGACCTCAGCTCCCTCTGACAGCATCTACAGGACAGGAAAAATAAGTAAGGGAGATTCTCTGGATCACATTAAACCATCTACAGCATGCTTAAGAAGGTACCTTAACCAACTGCGAACTATCACAGCGTTCAACATTTTTGCATGCTAGTCCAATAGGTTTAGCAGTTGGGAAGACTCCCCTTTGGACTCCGCTTTAATTACAAGACAACAAGATGTTTCGTTTACTGCCGAAGCCAAAACAGTGCTGCGCGTTGCCTTGTCTCAGACTTTGTAAGTGTTCTCTTATATGAAGCCAAACTGGCCAGCTGGAGCGCTTGATCTCCAGCACAGCCCCATGGCAGCCTCCCAGCTGTGCAGTGAGGCCAGTCCGGCCGCTGTGCCTTCCGGCTGGCTTGGCCGATGCGCCGATGCTGCGGCATGGACTTGGCACAGAGTGTCAGCTACAGATAATAGGCTTTCCTGAGCAGATCCCGTGCCCGTCCTCACACAGGGCTAACCAGAAGCAAGTGCCATGAAAAAGTATCCTGATTTCTTCTGTTTTTGCATATACGTTACGTTGTTTCAGATCTTCACGCGAACATTTTTAAGACAATGACCATGAGTAAATACAATAGTCAGTTTCAAAACGATCATTCTGTTCATTGAAGGAAAAAAAGTTATGCAACACCAAATGACCTTGTGTGAGAAAGTAATTGTTACTCAAGCAACAAAGTATCCAAATTGAACTGATAATTGGGTTCAATTAAACTAGACAGACCCAGGTTGGATGTGAACATCATGTAAATAGAACCTTTTCGGCACTGAATTGACTACGGGATTACAAAGCCATTTCTAAGGCTCTGGGACTCTAGCAAACCACAGAGAGGGGAACTATCTTCGAATGAAAATTGGATCATGGAAATAGTGATGAATCTTTCAAGCGTATTGGCGATTCATCCAGGATGTTACAAAAGAAGCCAAACATCTATGGGCGTGCTCACACTTGACCCGGCTGCCTCGTATCGTGCCTGAGCATGACTGTCCCCCCTCCCCAATCCCCTGCTGGTCGGCACTCACAGTGAACAGTGAACGTTCCGGATCCAAACATACTTTCATCATCACGGTGTGACTTTTTAGGTTAAAGGAAATATGAGAAGAAAAGCGCCATCACACAGCAGATTGGAGTTCGTGATTATTGTCCTTATTTTGTGGCTTATTTGGAGTCGTTTTGGGTTGGATGGCACATGGCTCTCTCATAGATCTATCAAGTATGCATCGCAGCGATATTCATTAAATTGTGCTGCACGTCTGAGAAGATAGTCCCGTATTTGCCCAAATATCTCTGAGTTTTTCTGTGCTGCATCCAGTTGTTCCTGGACACTCTCATAAGCCCAAATTTCCAGCAAACACTGCACCTCGTTTGTAAACCAAAGAGATTCCTATGCTGCCATGTCTGTTAAATGTTTGTTGCTACCCGATCTGTACAGTCTACCCGATCCATTCCTTCCAGGTCTGGTTCATGTGTAGTGTACATATGCAAGTGCCAGTTCAAGTGCCAGTTACATCATTGACGCCATGTTTGTGGTCTGTGCCCAAGCCCAACTGCACTGTGCCCAGGCCCAACTCTTCAAGAAGGTACAGAGCAATAACACTAGTCAAACTAACTGGATCTTGGGGGTCAAATGTGCCCCGGCATGGTACAAATCACCTAATGTGAATACACCCTAAGGAACTACAGGTCTCGCTCACCTCAGATAAGAGACTGGGCAAGATGGGAGGGGTGCAAAGCAAAAACCACCGCTAACCCAGAGGGACAGCAGGCTCATCTCCCACTTGCTAAAAAACACCTTGATGACCCCCAAGCCTTTTGGGATGATGTTTTGCAAACTGATGAGTCAAAAGTGGAAGTGAAAGACTAGGGTCCCATCACATCTGGCATAAAGCTGACACAGTATTACACAATAAAAACATCATACCAATAGTCAAACATGAATCAGGGTGGTGTTAGGGTGGAGATGGGTGGGGATGCCGTGCTGCTCCAGGACCCGGATGACTTGCCTTCATTAATGGAACCATGATTTCTACTTTCTACCAAAAGATCCTGAAGGTGACTGTCTGGTCTTCACCATGATCGGAAGCTCAAGCGCAACTGGGTCATGCAGCAACACACGATCCGCAGCACATGAGCAAGCCCACCTCCGAATAACTAAAAAGAACCGAAACCACGGTTTTAGAGTTAGTCCTAACATGAACCCATTGAGATGCAGGAGCTCATGCTTGAAAACCCTCCAACGTCCAATTTTCAGTTGTGGGAAGCTTGGCTGCAGTAGTCGCTGTTAAAGGTAGCACGACCAGCTAAGTTTAGAGGGGGGGTATATATGGGTGATATAGGTGTTGGATAACCTTTTTCCATCAATAAATAAAAAAATAGTTTAAAAACTTTTTGATGTGTATCTTCACAATCGCCTTGACATATTACATTTCGTATTAA